GACCAAATTTATATTATAAATTAATCTTTTTATAACAGTACATTTATCATCTCAAAATTCTAAATAGGGCTCTATTTGGTCTTCCCCTCCTCTTAATTACTAGTACTACATATAAAATCCTGTCAAGTTATATATATCCTCAAAATATACTTTTTTTTTTTAACTTGAAGATGAAGCCAACTTTTAGAATTTATCCTTTCAACATCACGTGGTGTAAAAATATTGGTCACTTTAGAATTAGGATTTTTCACTTTTAATTACATATATTCTTTCTAATTATGATGAGCCATGTCTAATCAAACTTTAGCTTCCCCTTGAAGGTGAATAATGGATTAAATGATGTGCATCTTTTGACTTGTGAATGGTCCATTTAAGTTACTATTCATGATATATATATTCCAACTTCCTATATATTCTTATATGAAATTATAACAACTTCAAGGTCTTGTGGAATTGACAAGAACCAAAAATGTCTATTCTTAATTACATGCAAGTGTAAAAAGCAAGTTCACTGTATATACTGATCAATGTAAGAGAATCCACTTTAATGCAATCAACGTAATTTCATAAGTAAATTCTGATGCATAATCTTATTAGTATTAGTTCGAATACTCTTATGTATTATGAGAAATTGACTCGAATTTTACAAATAATTGGAGTCACGATCTCCACTTTACAATAGTCTCCCTTAAATATCATATTTCCTATCCACATTATATAACTAGATGTTGACATAGATTTTTACTATGTAGATATTTACTTGTGTTTACTCAAGTCTCTTTGAGAAATAAAATACAATGTGAAGCATCTCACAACTCTCTTATCTTAAAAGAATCACAATAAAGTTTACGAGGCAAATTCCCTAGTTAGATTCTTTGAACTTTTTAAAGAGAAAATGACAAAATTGGTCCCTTATATTTGCAAGTGATTGAAAATAGTCCTCTTAAGTATGCACTAAATACTTTTGATCATTTATCTTTGTCAAATTAACATTTTTAGTCTCTATCAAATATTTATCGAACATCGTCTGTTATATTTGATGTGAATAACAATAAAAATGAAGCAAATTAGTGAGAACTATATCTAGAGGTTATTTTTTTCTTGCAGTTTATGCTATTTTAACGTATTTTTAGATTCTAATATAACTTTATGATTTTTTCTTTTAGTATTTAGCGTAGATTTTTGTGTTGCATATTTAAGGACTTGACAGAACTTTAATTTCTTGGTGTTTATGATTTACTTTTTTCCACTATTTTCGTCAAATCTAACGAACATAAATTATTAAATATTTGACGAGACCAAAATTATTAACTTGTGGTAACCTTAAGGGACCCAAAGTGATTTATCCATTCTTAAAAGACTATATTGAATCTACCCTCAAACATAAGGGACTTTTTTGGTCATTATACTCTTTCTTTTGAGTCCCCTCTTTCAATGCCTATATATAGAGTCTCTAATCTCTATACAATAGAAAACAACTCATTTCTTGAATTTCTACAATATATATATATGGCACCTCAAATAGAATTTGTGAAAACTTTAAGTAGAGATCTTGGACTTTCCTTTTTGGAAGGTAGAAAAAGAAGATCATCATCTTCTTCTTCTAGTCCACAAAGGGTTGCATCATCATCTCAAGAAGAACCAATACAAACTTGTGTTTATAGATATTATCCACATTCTAATATTGTTCAAGTGAATCCTGTTTCTTCTACTGAGGAAAGAGTTTTTAGTAGCAATAATTATCAAGTGCAATTTCCTGAGAGGAAATCAATTGCCTTAGCTTATTAATTTTGCTTAAATATGTAAGTATACGTTACGTACGACGATAACAATATATTCAGTATGTACTAGTTTGATGCTTATTAGGGTTTTAAGTTGACTGAGCTTTATTTAGTCAGGTTTATCATCATCAATCGTACGTGTACTTTTTTATGTAGTTTCTACGTTGTTGTAATCTTGTCTCATCAATTATGTAATCTTAACAAGGAGGAGAAAAAAAAAAACTTTAGTTGTTGTGATTTTTGCTCGACATGCATGTATTGCACTATTTGCTTAAGGAACTATGTGTGTCCATGATTATATGATAATTATATTTAAGTTGGTCGATTTTTTTAAAAAAATGATGTTCTCAAAATTTTCAAAAATAGTGTATATATATGAACATAAATTTGCAAAGTTTGCATCTAAGCAATATCACTTTGGTGAAAGGCTTTAGTAATTTCTATACCAAGATAAATGAGGTTTTGACCAAACTAAGCCATTATATAAATCAATTTATCAGAATAATATGTTTTTCTAAAATTTTATAAAACTAGTATAAAAGTATTCCACGATAATGTTTTAGGGTATATTTTATTTTTTAAAAGGTTGATGGCGTCAGATTGATATACGTTACTCACAATAACGTTTTACTCCTTAATATATATCTGTGTGTGTGTGTTAAATCGTGCATAAGTTATACCATATTTGATAGTTGATTAGGATGTAAGTTATTCATGTATATAATCAATATGATGTTTGATTTACAATATAAAAACATAAGTTACGATTAAATCTATGTACAATATAATTTTATGTAGAATAGAAATTGAAAATAAACAATATACGTAACTAAGCTTCATAAAATATTACACAAATTCACTAATAACTAATCTTAACATAACTCTTACCAGCTAGTTATGCATGCATTAGTTAGTTATGAGAAAATCCATGTATTATTTTCACTAATATATTACTTATTCCATATAAAATAATATACGAATTCCATAATAATTTATACATATATTAGTTATGCAAATTTCTAAATTATCAACCAAATGTCGTATAAACCATACAAAAATTAACACACAAATAACTCTTGTCGGCCAATGACATAATTGCCCCTCAATGCAAGCCTTAGTGAAGACCTTTTAACAAAAGCACATGGATAGCGATCCGTGTCATCTCTCTAAGACCTAATCATTACCGTCCCTTGAAATCGCACGGTCCAGATTTATCCCGCGCCAAAACTTCATACAAAAATTTCAAATTTTCGTCCCCAAAACAAAATTTTCAAATTACTCTCTATATATACACTTCTCTTTATTCATTCATATTCTCTGTATTTTCACTTTCTAGCAAGTTAGCACCAATGGCGAGGACAAAGCAAACAGCGAGAAAATCCACCGGAGGAAAGGCACCGAGGAAGCAATTAGCCACCAAAGCTGCAAGGAAATCAGCACCAGCTACCGGAGGAGTGAAGAAGCCTCACCGATTCCGTCCAGGAACTGTTGCTCTTCGTGAGATCCGTAAGTACCAAAAGAGTACTGAGTTATTGATTAGGAAGCTACCTTTTCAGAGACTGGTTAGAGAAATTGCACAGGATTTCAAGACGGATTTGAGATTCCAGAGTAGTGCTGTAGCTGCTCTTCAGGAAGCGGCTGAGGCGTATTTGGTGGGCCTCTTTGAAGATACTAATTTGTGTGCAATTCATGCTAAAAGAGTTACGATTATGCCTAAGGATATGCAATTAGCTAGACGTATTAGAGGTGAAAGGGCTTAAAATATAGTAACCAGAGTTGGTTCAGTGGGGTTTTTTGCTTTAAATGTATGGAAAAAACTTAGGAAATGAAAATCAAAACTCTCTTGTTTTCACGAATAATTGAAATTTAGTCACATAATGTATCAGCATATGCCAACATTGGTGCATATAATCAAATTATAACACAGACTTACCTTTTAAAAATGACGTTGTTGTACCCAAATATTCTTACAAAACAATCGAATCTTGCCATTATTATTCCTTTTAACTAGTCTTCATTCTAAACAAACAGATTGTACATTCCATGAATCACATCGCCAGAATATCAAATGGTGCTCATTGTTCTGTCTTTTGAATCTGATTATTCAATGCAATGCCAAATCAAGATCTAGGGTTTTCCATTTTTTCCTTCTGTAATTCAATAAAGTAATCAATTTCATAATTTAGTTTACAACAACAAGAAACACCCCCTTTAACAAAATACAACCTCAAAACTCAAAAGTTAACAAAGCAAGATGTGTTTTTTTTCGCATTATCACTTCTTGCCGGTGAAGACTACTTATACAACTGAAGAGCATGCAAGGTTGTACGTTATAGAGATAGTGCGACTACATGAAGTGTTAATTTCTATAATATCTGATAGAGGAGCTCAATTCACTGCAAATTGTTTCAGAAGAGTTTGGGAACACAAGTGAATATAAGTACAGCCCTTTCACCCTCAAACGGATGGCCAGGCAGAACGTACAATTCAAACAGAATATGCTGCGAGCTTGTATATTAGATTTCAAAGGTAGCTGGCCTACCAGTTATTAAATTTGTTTATCACAATAGCTACTATTCGAGTATTAAAATGACACATTATGAAGCTTTATATGATCAGAAATGTAGATCATCAATTGACTGGTTCGAAACATGTGAAACTGCCTTATTTCGGCCCGATCTTGTTCATGAGCTATGGAAAAAGTCAAAGTGATACAACATCAAACAGAAAAGCCCCCCGAAAGCATACGAGTGTTACATCAAAATATTGACAAAGAGTCATATTCCATAAGTTTATTGAGATCAGCTCGATCTAAAAGGTGAAATCTATTATATATATATATATATGTAATTTAAAAATTTTAAACATGAAAATTTTAAATGTAAATTAATGATTATTTAAAAAAATATATATTTTATTCTTGATAATATTATAATTTAGCTTTTCATATTACATGTTTTAAAGTTAAGAATTTAAAAATAATTTAGTACATCTGATGTTAATTTAGTTTAGAATTGACTTTCTTTTAAGTAAAAAACTCAGTATAAACTTCTTCTTTTTTTTTAAATCGAAGAGAGAATACATTATCTTCTGCTAACCATTGGCCACCTTGAGCTCTCGCTTATCTCTCCACGTGTCATATCACATATCTCATATCCCTATTTATTATTTATCTATCACGTTAATTAAAAAATTACACATACTTATTTTATTTGTTTGATTGGAGAAACTTTTAATACTATTATTTATAAACATTTTAAAAAGATATTTACTTATTTAGTTTAATTTTTTATTTTTTTAACAAATGATGTCAAACTCGAATCTGTCAACTAAATAGGAGCCTCGAATTGCGGGCTACTGGTGTAAACATGAAATTGCGTGCCACCCAATTTTTTCCCCAATTTTATAATTTGATGTATAACTGTTATTGAAGAGTTTTGGAGAAGAAAGCAGAGCGATGGATCACGCAGCAGATGCTCATCGGACTGATTTAATGACTATTACTAGGTTCGTGTTGAATGAACAGAGTAAATACCCTGAATCTCGCGGCGATTTCACTATTTTGCTCAGTCATATTGTTCTTGGCTGCAAATTTGTTTGTACTGCAGTTAACAAGGTCAGTTTTAATCGTTTCACATTTGTTTCCATGCTCAATTTCCTAATCCTATCATTTATATGTTATGTTCTTCGTCTCTAATTGTTATTTGTTATTTGGGTTTTTGGATGGATAGGATAGTTATTAAAAATAGATAATCTTGTGTATGATGATTGGGTTGGTACATAGTTGAATAGTGTACACAAACTGGATGAATAGAATAATTATTAAAAAAAATGATCTAGCGTATGATTAATGTGTTGGTGGGAGATAACATGAATGAAGTGGAAAAGTTGAAGTATGTGCAAGCTGATCGGAGCTACTAGGATAGGATAGTCGTAAAAGAGATAATCTTGTTATGATGACTGAGCTGGTGGGAGATTACATGTCGAAGTGTGTTCAAGCTAACTGGACAGAATAGTCGTAAAAAGATAATCTTGTGTGTATGATGTCTGTACTGGTGGGAGATAATAGGTAATAAGTGGAAAAGTTATAGTGCGTGGAAGCGGCTGGACGGAATAGTTATTAAAAAAATATCTTGTGTATGATGAGTTGACGGTTTGCTTTAGAAACGGATTGATTTGCGTAGGCTATGCATGAAAATGTATAATCTTGCTATTGAGAGATCTAATTTTTATTGGTAATCCAAGTATGGCTACGGTTTACAGTTTCAGGTTTTCTCATCATTGTCTGTTAGTTTTGGGGTCAAGCTAAAATGAATTACTCTTAATTAGCGTGAAAATGAAGCTTGAATTTGCACCCAACGGTGTGGTCAATGAAGTAGATTGAGAATCCTGAGGTCTTAAGTTCAATTCCCAATGGAGGCAAGTAGGTGATTTCTTCTCATTTGTCCAAGCTTTTATCGATAAAGTTACCCGGTACTTGTGCTTGTGGGAGGTATTAGGCATGCAAGCTGACCGGGACACTACGGTTGTCAATTTGTTTTTTTATGATAAAGCTTGAATTTTACAAGTTTATCGCAAGAATTTGGGATTTTCTTTGATGAACTTGTTTTCCTTGTAGTGCTTAGTTGAATGAAGGAATTTCATTTCTTCATTCTTTCTTTTCTATTCAAATTTACAGCAGTTCCTGGTGGATTGGATTTAGAGCTGCTCTCTGAACTATCCTTTGGTATTATGTAAATGCTCAGAGGCATAAGAATCCTTGCTGTAGTGACTCTTTAAGCGTGCACTTTAAACTAGTTTTACGTTAATTTGTTTTATCCTTCCTTCCATTATTGATGTATGTACCTGTGGATACATCTTTTCAGGCAGGTTTGGCCAAACTCCTTGGGCTTGCTGGTGAGACTAATGTGCAGGCAAGTTGTTAGAAATGCTTGCACGCATAGTTTTAAAGCGTTTACCTTTTTGTTTCTTATTGGAATGTTATAATTACTAATTGAAGGGTGAAGACCAAAAGAAACTGGATGTACTCTCAAATGAAGTTTTCATCAAAGCTTTGGTCAGCAGTGGTCGAACAGTAAGACCTATTCATCTTTAATGTACTGTGCTAAAATACCTAGTGGTCGCGATCTTAAAGATTTCTAGTTATACAGTGCATTCTCGTGTCTGAAGAAGACGAAGAAGCTACTTTCGTAGAGCCATCTAAGCGTGGAAAGTACGTACTGTAGCTCTTCATAGTTTTCCCAACTTTTATGAACTAAGTTGTTTTCATTGATATGACTGCATTTCACACAATATTTAAAACAGGTACTGTGTGGTTTTTGATCCTCTGGATGGATCTTCCAACATTGATTGTGGTGTTTCTATTGGAACGGTATCATTCCACTTTGAGCTATTAATTTTTCATTCACAGGCTTTTAACTACGATGACTTTTACCTATTACGTGATATCACGATGATAAAATGCATCTGTTTTATCCAGATCTTTGGGATTTACATGATGAAAGATGTTCATGAACCAACACTAGATGATGTCTTGCAACCTGGAAAGAATATGTTAGCTGCTGGATACTGCATGTATGGAAGTTCTTGTACGGTATGTATATTGCCTTACATTGGCAAGACTTGAGATCCAAAAACTTTACGAATTATTATACGATTCTTATTGAAAAATGTTTCCAAGTGTAAATCACGAGTACCAGTGACAATATCTTTTTCGGGCTCGGTTGTTTGCAGCTTGTCTTGAGCACTGGAAAAGGTGTTAATGGTTTTACACTTGACCCCTCTTTAGGCGAGTTCATCTTAACTCATCCAGATATCAAGGTAATTACTCAGCTTTATTTACTTCTATTCAAAGTGCACACGTATCAACCTCTTTGTCTAGCTTTTGTAAACATTGTCTTCTGCGTATCAAGATTCCAATTTATGGTTTTCTATTTGTTTGTTTATTCTATTTAGATTGATGCTTCTTTTTGTTACATTACATTGCTTCCCACATGCAGATTCCGAAGAAAGGAAAGATTTATTCAGTGAATGAAGGAAATGCCAAGAACTGGGATGGTCCAACATCTAAGTATGTTTAATGAATTTAATGATATACATTTTCCAGTTTCTATGATGTCTTTACTCTTCTTCAAATTTCAGATACGTGGAGAGCTGCAAGTTCCCCACGGATGGTTCTTCACCCAAATCTTTAAGATATATCGGAAGGTATACTTGAGCTGTGTATAGTGTGAGATTTTAAAGTGTTAAATTGCTTAGTTTCTTATGTGTGATGTACGTAGAAATAGAGATGAAACACTTCTTGCGAATCATCTATTGCTAACGCGAATAGCATGATAAGAATCACTTAGTGACCATCTCACAGCTCTTATAAGAATCATTTCGTTAGATGTATGTTAAAGATGTTACCTGATGTAAAAGAACACCTCATTTTACGTGATTATGGACTGTAACGTGCAGCATGGTAGCTGATGTTCATCGTACATTACTCTACGGAGGTATCTTTTTGTACCCAGCTGATAAGAAAAGCCCCAATGGGAAGCTACGGTAAGTTATGAACATCTTCCGAGTCATGAAGAAACTTGTCAACCATAATTTTCTGAAATGTTACTTATGAAAAATCGTACGAAACAGGGTTCTCTATGAAGTATTTCCCATGTCATTTCTGATGGAACAAGCAGGAGGTCAAGCATTTACTGGAAAGGAGCGGGTAAGATATCTGAATTTGTAGTTACACTAATGAAATAGTAACTTCGAGTTTGTTTGGTTCAACTTCTAGTCGTTGCCAAAGAATTTCTCATAGTGAAAACATGAAACCAACAACTACGTTTTTAGTCCAAAACAAGTTGGGGTTGACTATATGAACTCTGATCGACCATGTTATGCAGGCACTGGACTTAGTTCCTACGAAGATACACGAAAGGGCGCCAATATTCCTTGGTAGTTACGATGATGTGGAGGAGATCAAAAGGCTTTATGCTGCTGAAGAGAAAAACTAATGAATGTACATTTACATTCATTATCTTATTTTACAATTCTTGTTGATGCTTATTGCTAATTTGTTGAAATATAGCAAATTTGCTGGTTGTTATAAGTCACAAAATCATAAAATTATGACTACAAATGTATGTTCCACATTAGCTTGTTGGCTACTGTGATAATAATACCTGCATATAAATGAGCAATCTTAAAAAAAAATTGTATTCTGTGTGCATGTAATTATTTAGTTATTTCCAAAATGATGATGATCTATGTTTTAGTTAATTAAACTATAGATATATTTTTTTAACTTGTGAAAATGCAAAATTACTATAATTATTAACGATTTCACCATTTAATAACTCATATATTTCTCAAGCTTATATTATTTTTACTGTATTCGACACTAATATAGCTTTGAAAATAGCTCGAATATAATATGTTTCCTACATAAGTTGAATTAATATATGTATTTGTGCTAATCGAAGGTTAAATATATTTAATTAAATATATATAAAAAATTAGAATGAACTTATCAATCCGTTTGCGGTATCTAAGACTTAAAAGACCAAAGTCTTGTTACTCTTTTGATTTAAAATCAGCAACAGACCGTTGAAATAAGAGAAAAATATTAAAGATATCTCCCGAGTCTTGGTTTGAGTGGTTTAAAATCAAACCAAATTTGATAATCTGAACTAAAAAGAAGTTATTGTTTAGCGGTTTCAACAATGATTTTGATTATATTTTTTTAACGGATTAATCGATAATCCAATAGTAAATTAAATAATTATATTTATACTATTTTGTATATAAAGTTCTTGACTTAGAGTTTAGTTTCCTACTTTTAGTTTTTGTTGTCTCAACTATTTAGTTATTCTACTATGTAAAAATGTTATGTTTTTCACAAGATGTAACTTGTGAACTCATGTGCATGACTTATTTGGTTTGTCACTTTGTTTCTAAGTGATTTTCAATTTATATTTTTTATGTCAAATTTTAACGGTTAAATCGATAATTAAATTGATAACGATAAAAAATCGATAAACCAATAACCAATAAGTCAATATCTTAATGGTACTATAACGATTTAACATCTTTACAAATCGATAATCAACAAGTTAATTCGATAAACTTCAAAATCGAACTAAACTGACTGATACACAACCCTACAATTGTCCCCTCTTTTTTCACAAGAACACTCCTATGCTCCTTATGAGAGCACTGTTAATTATATCGTAATTTTTGTCAATTTTTCGAGATAAATATACATATATACATATTCAAAATTAACGGGTGCATGTGTACCTCACCGGCTAAGTTAGGTATTCACGCCAAATTTAAAAATATTTTCTTCAAAAAATAACATTTATTGTCTAAAAAAAAAGATGACGTGTACAAAATCTTTATCCCAAATATTAGTAGTATTTGAAAGTTGGATACTCCATGGAAAAGGTCTTTTCTTTTTGCTCTAAAAAAGAGGATCAAACTACAAAAATTGCGATTTTTCATACTTGTTTCGGTATGGCATATCCAAATTCCCTCTTCAATTTTCACAAATCGCAGAATTCAAATTCACATACTGAGAAAAAATGTCAAGCGACAGTGATGAAGATGAGCTTTTACAAATGGCATTGCAGGAGCAATCAACTGGTAAGAAGCCGTCAGAGCCACCGCCGAAGCCGAAGCCGAACTCGAGGAGCAGCGGAAGAAGAGTGGGAAGTATAGACGCGACGCCGAATCGAAAAGTGCAACAGAAGCATAGGAAGGGAGTGGAAGAGGAAGAAGATGATTCGGATTTAGAGATTCTCAGCATTTCGTCTGGAGATGATGATCACGGATCCTCGAAGAAGGAAAGTAAAGGTGCCTCGAAAAGAAGGGCTCCGAAAGGTGGGAAGGACGATGACGCACACTGGCAAGGTGGTGAACCTGATTGCTGGAAACGCGTTGATGAAGATGAGGTATGTTAAATATCTGTTTAAATGTGAAATTTGATAAATATTTTCAAAATCCCCAAAAAAATGCAAGTCCAAAACACACAAAATCAGAGATTACTCTTTGTATGATATACATTTGAGAGTTGTTCATTTAAAGGAGTCAGTTTTATATTGTGAGGTCCGTTATATGAATTTCAAATTACATTCTATGTGGAAGTGGATAAATAGTCTTCTTTATCATTGTTAATGAAAATGTGTGCAGAAAATTTTTCTTCTTGGCTAGTTGTGTTTAAAGCATTCTCGGATACATGCTGAACTTAAAAGATCAAAACTTTTTCAGCTAAGACGTCATGTTCGGGACATGAGGGAGGCTAGAGCAATTCCAGCCACTCAAATCAAGGCTGAGGAGGAGAAGATGGCATTGGCAAAGAAGGCACTTCAGAGTTTGCAGTCTTTCCCTCGTGGCATGGAATGCATAGATCCTCTAAGATTGGGGTACTTACTATCATCTTACTTTTTATGCATTTCATATTGTTCACTGGTAATTTCTTGTGCTAAATGGGAGGCTTCTTTGTACTTACAGGATAGTTGACAATAGAACATTAAGGATGATCAGTGAGCATTCATCAAGTTCCCCAACTGTAGGCGATTTGGACCCCAAAACTCGCGGTACTTAATTCTGTCACCAAATTACTTCATTGTGTTAGGGCTTCCTTCTCTTCCCTTATTCATGAGTATTCCCTCAGAAAGTACCTTATCATCAGCCTCTTTCTATTAACATCTTGAATTGGATGTGCTATGCAATGGAAATTTTGAGATGAATTTGCATGACAAAAAAATTGTTCATAATGCACTTTGTATGGTGGATGATATAACACTTTATGTACCTACAGCGATTGGATGCTTCTGGATTCAACTGTGGGTACTTACTCTTAGTACAGTTGAGTGAACTTGTTTTATTGCATTATCCTTTAGGCCTGTAGCTGTGCTCCCTCTGTAGTGCTTGTACGTATATTATGATCTCAAGTTCACATGGTAAGGCATGTGAATGTTTAGGCTCCTAAGCAGATTAAGACAAAGATATTTCATTCCTCATTTTGTGGTAGAGAAAAAAGCATGGGGCCTGGGGGTGCTGCTGTAGTGCACTTTGTATGCGTACGAAGTAGGCATTTAGATTACTAGACATGCCTAACAACTGGTGACTACAGCAGGATGATTTTCTGATTATACTATTTCCTCAGTTTGTTGGTGGGGAGATCCCTTGGTGATGCGTGCAGCTCTTGAGAATATCATTGGCGGTGGACAGAAATGCAGGACTTGCACTAGAACTATGCTTTGACTTTGACTGAAGAAACTGCTGAAGCTATTCCTTAGAGGTCCACCCCCCACAGACCAAAAAAGGAAAACAAAAGAGAAGGAAATTAACACCTGCCTTCATATTGGAAGTCCAAACAGGTTTCTTCTATCGATCATATGTGGGAAGGAGCTTCTTAATAGAGATAGCTCTGGACTTATAAGATGTTGCAGTCATGGTGAATCCCCATCTTACCCTAACCTTGAAATGAGCTTTGATTACTTAGGTTGAAGGTTAAAACACAAATATCAGAGTGTCCCTTGTGAAATGTGATGAAATATTCTGTAATTGATTTAGAGAAAAAATACAATTTTTAAATCTAATGAAGTATTGAACAACCTCAGTTGAAATTGAAGATTGGTCTATATCATTCTAGAGTAGTAAAAAAATCTGAATGCACTGTTTAGTTTGATGGTAGTGATCATGAGATATGATTATGTATAAAATTTTGAACATTACCAAAATAATAAGATTTGTGATGTACAAGTTCTAGGCATACTATTTTTATTCTCCTTATCCCATCAGTATCCCACAAACCAAGCAATGGTTTGTCCTGTTGTTTTACTTTGGGGTATTAGGCACTGTTAAATGACATTGTTTTTTCACTTAAAGCGACAGAGTAATGTGAAGCCAGGGGCTGTCACTTCATGAGAAAAGTAATGTGCTTCAGATAGTGAAGTGCCAAGTGATCTATGCGAGAATCTACCATTTCTTTCGGATCTAAGCTCAAATGAGGGGGAAAAAAGAAGAGAAAGAGAGAGGTTGCTTCACTTTTGATTTACTTCTTTGGTCCTCTTTTTCTTCTTCTTCAGACAATGACTCTTTCTTCTTCTTCTTCTTTCATGCAAGCCTTCTTCTGCTGTTACTTCTGATTCTACGCTTCTTTTATATATTCCCTTAGTACATTTTCTATTGCAATTAAATACTGCAAATCAGTTCTTTTAAAGGGTGACTATTGAAAACTAAGGGCTGGAGTTATATCTCAGTGGCCTAGTTAGAATTACATCTTAATGATGTTTACATTTGAGCTGTTGTGTTAATGTAGGCATTATTGTATATTGGATGCTAAATTAATAGTTTCATCGAAGTTTGATGTCATAAATACTGAATTCTCATATGTTAAGTGATTTTTCTAATTTCTGTAAATCATACACGTCGTTTCTCTCTCACTGCTTAAAGCCCGAGAACTTACAGGATCTTGTTGATTGACTACTTGTTTCCTATTTTCACTTTTTAAATATGATTTCCTTCTATAGTTTCTCAATCTCAGGCGAGTTATGTTTGATTCTAATCAACTGATTTTTTATTTACAAGATCTTGTGTCAATTTTGCAGAGGGGTTGAATTATTTTTCTGAGAAGTTTGACTCAAAATTGTTTATATCCCGAATCCACCAAGATACTGGTGCAGCAGACTTAGAGGGAGGTGCTGTTTCTTTGAAGACTGATCTTAAAGGACGTATGCAGCAGAAAAAACAATTGGTCAAAGAGAATTTTGATTGCTTTGTATCTTGCAAAACTACGATTGATGGTTAGCTTCACATCTTGTTTGGGATGGAGTTCTCATCTTACTTTGATTTATCATCGGAAGATCTAATTGAGTTTGATGCTTTTGCTATAGATATTGAATCAAAGTTGAGACGCATTGAGGAAGACCCTGAAGGTTCTGGAACTAAACACTTATATGATTGTATGCAAGGAGTCAATTCAATTGCTAACCGTGCTTTTGAGTCACTATTTGAAAGACAGGTAGATAGGACGTGATGCTGTATTTTTTAGTTCGATCCATTTAGTGAAGTTGATTATTGTAAGATGTGGATTTTTTTTACTCTTCTTTTGTTGTTAGTATGTAACAAATAGAAACATTTCCGTGTAGGCTCAAGCTGAGAAGATAAGATCTGTTCAAGGAACGATTCAGAGGTTCCGAACATTGTTTAACTTACCCAGTGCCATTCGTGAAAGCATTAGTAAGGGTGAATATGACCTGGCAGTCAGGGAGTACAGGAAAGCAAATTCAATTGTGCTGCCTTCTCATGTATGCAAGATTTAGTTAGTTATTCTGTGACTTTTACACTTGCAGTAAAGGATTTTGCTTTCTGTTTGAAACTGTTTTAAATTGATCTCAATCCTGCAAACAGGTATACTTACACAAGAATATGCAAAATTTTATTGCAGCTATGCATGTACACGTCTCTCTGCGTGTGGTTTCCTATGTTTCCTGGTCTTAGTAATCAATTAATTGGAGATTCCTAGTGGTCACAGTAACGTAGTATACTCCAAACTAGTACATGGCTGTTGACAATGTTCAACTCTAGTAATTTGGGTAGCAAAATTTTAACTACAAGAACTATTTTAGAGTTACTTGTAAGTTTTAGCGAGGTCCTTCCTATGACATACATTTTGGCAAATGTGAATGCGATATGCTAGGAATTACTGTCTTTTCTTTGCTTAACCCATCTGTATTCACCTCAATGTAGATGAAACAAAATGTCCTCATTGCCTTGTTTAATGACTCCATGCTTATTTAAAAGAAATGCTTTAAGGCCTCCCTTATTTCTGACTAGTGCAGGTTATTTATGCTCCTTGAAATGTAGATTCTTTGGGTAGGCATTAACATGGTAAAACGTTACTTGATCGAGTTTCATGCTTTTGAAATCTTCAGTTTGAATTAGTAGTAAAAATGTGTGCTCAACTTTTGTGATGCTTGACACTTTTGAGGTTATCTTTCTGATAATTACTTAAGTTTCTTTGTTTAGTTTTTCTACTTTTTTGCATATAGATTCTGCCTTTTTTGTTATTTTTGTCATCATTATTCGAAGGTTTTGCTTTTGTCTTGGTCACAAATTGTTTTCTGTGTCTTCTTCAGGTGGGAATTTTGAAGCGTGTCGTTGGGGAGGTTGAAAAAGTTATACAAGAGTTTAAAGGCATGCTTTACAAGTCTCTGGAAGATCCTAATATTGACCTGACAAACGTAAGTCATCCTCTAGTTATTTTACCAACTTGAGTTATTTTTTTGGGAGGTACTATATATGGAAAGTGCTGCATGACATAATCGTGGGATGTTGGTTCTCTAAGGGCTCATTTGGGACGAAGGATAAGGGATAACTAATCCTACAATTAATTTTAGGACGAGTTTATCTCCTTAACATATTCTGTCTTTAGTTTCCAAACAAATCGTAACTTTTTAATATGAAGTTCTAAATATTCTGTTGGCAAAAAAGAATATATGAAATTGTCAGTGATAAATGCAGTACTAGATTTGTAACCAACGTATATTATGTCTTTATTTTCAATACCTTCCAGAGTGGTCAAGAAGCTAGACAAACTGAGAAGGGATTTTATGTGGCTTGGGGACAAGGAAGGTAAGGGTATGCACTAAGTTAGATGGACAACAGTTTAGCGAGAACTCAAATGGTCTTGGTATCAGAATCTGAGGGTACAGAATGAATGTTTGATGATGAAGTGTCTGTGGAGAAACAGTGGAAGGAGGTTGTTCAGAACAAGTTTGGGCAGAGCAGGTCATGGTGCAATATTGTCACTAGTACTTACGGAGTTTCAGTTTGGAGGTCAAGAAGGGGTCTTTGGACCAAACTCTCGAAGAATGTTACTCATAAGGTGGAAATGATAAGAGAAATATTTTTTGGATGGATGAATGGAATGGCCAGGCGGCATTGAAGAACACCTTTTTCTCTTTTCTTTGTGCACTAACCCTGAGGCCTATGCTGTTCGGACTCTTCAAAAATGTCACAGGAGCGTGTTGGATACTCCAAAAGTAGTGTATTTTTGTGAATCCAACAGGGGTGCAGCAACAATTATGGAGAGGAGCAACACAGCCTAAGGCTGCAGTGGTTGAAACTTGGTCCGTAAATGGATGTGATATTCAACTTAGGAGATATTTGAGTGATGGGGAGATGGATAGAATAGATCAACTATTACAAGATGTTAGCACCTTCAAAGGAACTTCTCCAACTTCAGATACCATCAGTTGAGGCATGATACTGATGGCAAATTCTCAGTGAACAGATTATATAAAAAAGAGGTGAGGGAGTGACCAGGTGGGGAAACAGGACCATGGGAGCAGATCTGGAAAAGTTGCACCAACTAAGATTAAATATTTTTTCCTGGGTGGTGGCTACGAAGGCATGTCTAACACAGGTGAGGCTGAAAAGAAGGGGGTCTCAAATAGTTTCCAGATGTTCTTTTTGTAACGAAGAAGAAGAAACTTAACAACCGCCTGTTCTTGCATTGCAAATTAACTTCAAGGATCGGTCAATATTTCTAAGTCCCGCAGAAACAAACTGGACAATGCCAGAACAATATTGCTGATTTATTGAGCTGTTTGATTAGGAGGGGTGGGACCAAGAGCCAAAAGAAATAGTGGATTGGAATCCCGACATGCATATGGTGGATAGTGTGGAGAGAGAGGAATTAGAGATGTTCTGCAGATAGGTTTAGTTCCATTCGTAAAGTTAAATAGAATGTATTATATCCCTTTTATTTTGGTGTAAAGAGGAATGTATAGATGAAGTTGAACAGATACTAGATCTTTTAGGTTCCTTGTAATATTTCTTCTAGTTTGTAATTCTTTCAGGTTGCCAGCATGTCCTTAATGCTGAGATAATATGACGTTACTAGTTCTTAAAAAAATACATGAATTGTTGCAGAGAAGGAAGTCAAAAGGAGGAAGAATGAAGAGGAAAATAGGTTCTATAAATCTACCAAGAGCTTCTTAGAGATGACTCCTCATTCTCACGGAAAGGTTGCTTAAGTTTAATAACATTCAGGATGCAACAAAGTAAACTCAGTTTCTTTACCTATTACCTGCTATCTTATTTGTTAGTGCACATTACATGGACCAATATCATCTATCAAATGTCAATTCTGAGCCCATAAGTATGTTGTTTTTACATTGGATGCAAATCCATTTAAAAGTGTCCTTGATAAGATATATCTACTCAAAGAACTATGCAAGAAGAGATTATTTAAGAACAATGCTGGATGAAGTTGGTTGCAATCACAACGGATTATGTGGTGTTTACTCTTCCTTTTTGACATGTTGGCTTCCTTTTCATCCTAGTTCAGTTACTTCTAAAGGTTTTTGATGTCCATCCAGAATCAAATGTATCATCTTGCTTCTCAGCCAAGAGTGTGTTTTAGATGTAAAACACTTCTGATTATCTGCTAATATTGTGGGGCATGCGGTACTAGATAGAGGAAAATACTTACTGGACTATAAATCTATCTTTGCAGTCCCCGGGGATGCCAATAAATTGTAGCATATTCCACTTATACCTGATGGAAGATTTAGTAATTCTGTATCTTTGTCTTGCTTGTGTTCCTCACTTGTGGGATCACACTGGGTTTGTTGTTATTGTTGTTGTTGTCCTGCTTGTGTTAAGGTGAGTCAGATCTCAGTATTCACCAAACACTTTGATATTATCATTGTTCTTATAAAATTGATTCAGTCACAGTCTTCATCTCCATTTGGCTTGACTCTACATACCTTGGCGTTGGGTTCAACCTTTTAAATTCTGACAGTTCTACTCATATTTTAGTTATCAAAACTTTTTGAGATTTCAAACTTCACTTTTTACTTATGTGTGATTACTTAATGCTTCTTGTAGCTTGAAAATATAGTGAGGCTCTTGTTGGAGTTGGAACCTGAATCAGATCCTGTATGGCACTACTTAAATATACAGGTGAAGCATCCAAATCCAATATCATCCTTTTAATTACATATTAACATTATGCTTAGGTGGATTAGAGGGGTGTGGGGGCGCTCTGCCCCCGCAAGATCCAATACCCTTTGCTGGAAGGTGTTTGGTTTGGACCCCTCAGATAATGTCTCCCTTTATGGATGTGGCAAATGATATCTAGCTTTATGAATGACATTTGAATCTGACTTATCTACCATAGGAAAAAGTGTTGGATGTAATTATGCTATTTTTCAGAATCACAGAATTCGAGGCTTGCTTGAGAAATGTTCTTCAGATCATGAAGCTAGGATGGAGAATTTACAGAATGAGATGAGAGCCAAAGCTTCATATGATGCAAAATGGAGGCAAATTCAGCAAGATCTGAATCATTCCGTAAGCATTACTGTCTGTAATAAGAAATCTGTTGTGGTTATCAATTTGTCTACTTATTAATGATCCTCATTAAATGTTATAAATGATTGTCAGTCAGACATTGATTCGGAACTGTTAGTGATGACCGGTGAACAAGGTGATGCTTTTAGAGGAAAATATATACGTAGATTGACTGCTGTTGTTATCCATCATGTACCTGCCTTCTGGAAAGTTTCTGTTTCAGTGTTCAGTGGGAAATTTGCAAAGGTAATGAGACTCTCTTATCCTCGGTCCATATATTCTAAGACTAGAAATTAGATATTAACAGCCCGTTTGGTCATACAAAATGAAATGATGAGATGAAGTTGAAGTTTTGTTTGGACATGCGATTTGGATTAACAGATAAATAAAAGGATGATAAATGAAAATGGAGATTGTAAAGCACTCACGGAAAGACGCATAAAGTTGGTAGGGAACATTTTGCCCAAAAATGAAGAGGATAAAACAATTGTGGTATAGCATGAAAATGAATATATATATATATATATATAAATATATATATATATATATATATATATATATATATATTATTTTTATTTATTTTTTTTAATTTTATTTTTTCACTGCCAATTGGTTGTACTTTAAAATGTTATTGTGGTGTATTAAATTAAATGTTTAGATGTTGTGGGCATTTTAGATAGACATTGTGATTTTTATAATATTATATACTTGGAGGTTTGATGAAAAGGATAAGTATCTGAATGATGGTCGTTAACACAGGCCAGTCGAAGCATAATGCTATGAAATTTTGTTGCTTCTACAATAAGTATATCGACAGGGAATGTAAAATATAATCCAATCACATTAGGTAACTCAGTCTGGATACAAATAAAGGTTCCTTGATTTTTGCTACAGTTCATCATAGGTGATTCTTGTCCGGGTCTCACATGTTTGTGAAGTTGATTTAGCATATAAAATTTAACTTGCATCTCCCGAGCATTTTATTGATGCAAAACAACCCTGTAGACAGTAAATTCCATAGTATTCTCAACATTACCCATTTATTTTTCAGTGTCGTTACTTTTCTGCAACTTTTTGTGTTGGTAGTACTGTGAAATAGCACACTCACGGACCTCAACTTTTGGGATTCTTGGCACTATGAAAATAAGCATCCGTGATTAGATAGGTGAAATCTGCCTCACTGATTTTTGGCTGTGTCCATCTGTGATGGCCATCTATCTTGTTCCTTTTAATTATAGTTTCACTTTCATTCTTCTTGTAATGCTTGGAAACTTCAAGTGGTATGTTCCTGGGGATAGATCTAGTTATTGCCATTTTTTTCTCGTTACTAGAGAAATTTGTTGCTTCTCCAATTTTGGGTGGATGCGCATTAGTTTTGCAGTCTTTTCCATTGAAATTTGCTTCCATTTTCTTACTCTTGATTTAATGGTTCTTTTCTTGTAAATAGGCATCCCAGGTGTCTTCTGATTCAAATGTCAATGCCTCTGCAAAGAGAACTGAAGAAAAAGTAGGAGATGGAAAGTACTGTAGTCATTCTCTTGATGAAGTTGCTGGGATGTTGCAGAGTACTTTATCAGCTTATGGATCTGAGGTAAATGCTTCCTCTAAAATTGGTCTTTATATTTTACCTTTTGTATCACTTTCTGTTGAGACGAACAGTATCATTATTGCCAAACAACCAGTTTAACCACTGCCTAATTCAGAAGAGAATCCGACTATCACAATCCATATTAAAATAGACTAGCTTAGATCTCATCGAAAGATAAAGACAGTGGGGTAGTTAGAAATGACTTTCCTGCAAAATATAAATTCTCACGATGATTCCAGAATTGATATGGAGCTTTTTCTAGTAGATCGGATAAGCTTTTATGATTTAATATGTATCATGCTTCTTCCTAACGTACATCATTGAATGTTGAAATTACTCACAGGTTCAGAACACATTTCGAGATCTTGAAGAATCAAATATTCTTTGCCCATACATGAGTGATGCCATAAAAGAGATATCTAAAGCATGTTGTGCTTTTGAAGCCAAAGAATCAGCACCTCCAGTTGCTGGTATGTTTCTTTTCTAAGTTGACATATGCTATTGTCTGTGAAATGTTTCCAAGTGATATCTCCGGTGATTAACAGTTACGGCATTGCGCACACTTCAGTCTGAGGTCACAAAAATCAATGTATTGAGGCTCTGTTCTTGGATGCGTACTACAACTGAGAAGATAACAAAAGATGAGACCTGGATCCCAGTATCTATCTTAGAGAGGAACAGATCTCCATATACAATTTCTTCCTTGCCTCTGGCTTTCCGTTCAATTATCACATTTGCAATGGATCAGATCAATACGTAAGTTATATATGTCGCAAAATGCTGTATGTGTATTTGAACATATCTGTACCTGTGATCTAACCCTCCTGCTACATATCTCGGTAAGCTGAAGGATTTTTCTGTAGGTACATTCTTTTCAATTCTCAAAATACTTGTAAAATTTGCCTTTAATGTTTGCCAGGAAGTCGTTTAGTTTAGCATCAACTATTTTAAATATAGAATACGTTATCCAAATGCATGTGTATGTGAAGCTATCAAGAGAGATTCAAGTATACATAGGCTCGCGAAGAAATGTATATGTTAAAGTTAGACTTTCGTGTTTCCTCAGTGCTATTGATACATGCTCTTGTCCAGACATACTAAGTAAGGGGGATTTGATTTTAATTGTACTGTGGTTTGGTGATACTTATTGTAACTAGTTATGCGACAACTCCTCCTTGAATGTTTTATAAGTGAAGCAATTTTGAATGGCATCTTCTTATGGAAATCCTAGCTACTCTTAGCATTATATTGGGAAGTCTCATTGATATTGCTTTACATATTCGTCCATAAGGCCAAATCCGATATGAAATTATTGAAGACTCAAAACACGAATATGAAAACACGATGACTCATATGTTGTTCTATATCTCCATGAATTTAGGAACTTCTGCTTGCATTGTATTATTTGGTCTATGTACCGGAACATTTATGCAGGATTATACACCAAAGATCTTTTTCTGGCTCTATCTTAGCAGATACATAATTTTCTTGTTAGTAAGATGTAGTGACTCTTGTCTTCTTAAGTTGCTTGAGCACTTAATATAGGCCTCAAGGAAATAGACTTGAAACTGTTACTCGGAATAAATTTTGCAAAATGTACGAACATTTGGTCGATTATTGCACACTCGTTTCTGTATTTTTATTCTTTCCAGATTGATCCAGTCTTTGAGGAATGAGGCTATGAAGTTAGAGGACATATTCTTGCTTCTTCAAGAAATTCAGGAATCTGTTAGACTTGCCTTTTTGAACTGTTTGCTTAATTTTGCCGGTATGTAAAGCAGTTGATACCTCAGCATTATAGTAGCTGATAGAGTTTGGAATATAATACAAAATTTTATACTCTAATTAGGCCAGCTGGGCCACACTGGCAATCAGCTTCTGAATGAACATGACAGAGAGAGTGCACATTTTCAAAATGGACATGCTGAACCAGAAGATAAATCATCGGATCCTCTTCCAGGAAGTATTGTTAATCCACATCGACAGTTGCTGATGGTCGTAAGTAATATTGGATATTTCAAAGATGAACTTGCTCATGAATTGTACAGCAAGTACAGACGAACTTGGCAGCAGTCGAGGTACAATAATAGCTCTCGAGTACTTTATAGCTTTTAAATCAAGTTAAGCAGTACAAGTAGCTCTCTAGTACTGTATAGCTTGTCCACTTCATATGATTTCTTCGTCGAATATAATGTCAGAAACATTGCGAACAATCCACTCAATAATGGTTGACAGGATTAAGGGTACTTCGTTATATCAATGTGTTGCAGAACTACGTCCAGGTTGATTGGGCAATAGGAGTTTGTTTGTTTTCCGAACCTTTTCTACTTTCTGTAAGATAACACCGAAACTATTGTCTTTTTGAAAGGGTTATCTCTTAACATTTTAGTTGGAAAACTTTTTCTATTTCCAGATATTTGAAAGATGTCTCTGAACAAAGAAGTAGCGATGCGCCATTAGGACCCAAAATGTTCACTTGCATATTTCTTTTTTGCAGTCATCTCATCTTTAGAGACTTCGACAGAAAATCATTTTGTCGAGCTACCTAACATCATACCATCTACTGTCTTTGATCCCCACCTGAGATGCTCTTCATTCTTGAGAGCTGGTGCAATGCAGTCTAGGCACATAGCTTGCTCAAGCAGCGCTTTAGCACAGGCACTGCATTGTACCTCTATGTTCTTGGCTCTCATCCATAAATGAACAACAGTAAACAATAAAAGGGAAATTAGAAAGTACTATACGGATTTTTGGATTATTTGAGTGGGTATGGATAGGAAATTAGACACTAAAAAATCTTAACTAGTCCCTTATCTGTACTCTTTATCATAAATTCAAATGATTATTGAAATTGGCTGACATGGTTTTCTTCAGATATCCCAATTTATTAAGTTTTTCAATCCTTTGATCTAGAGAACTATTTGTACTACAATTACATACCGAGAGTAGTCCCGCCAGTGGGGGTTGGGGAGGCTAAGATGTACTCAAACCTTATTCCTATTTTTTCTTTTTTTCGTAGAGAGGATGTTTCCGATAAATCCTTAGCTCAAAAGAAGTAAAATCAAATCAGAATCAAAATAAAAATAGCGACAACAAATTAGCAATACACAAAGCAAATGGAGCAAAGAGGGGATCACTCAAATGGTAACACTCTCCACCTCCAACTCTGAGGTTGTGGGTTTGAGTTATCAAGGGAGAAAAAAAGGTGGGAGCTCCGGGGAGAGATAAAAAAAAAGTAGTCGTAAGATTAAGAATAAGATACTATGTGGATACTAAATAGTACTACTAAATAAGGAGAAGATGAGAAGAGAAGACTAGCCCCCTATCTATGCCACATAAAGTTATGAAATATTCTGGTACTTTTACCCTTTATCCTTATCCTCAATCTCCAGACCTTCCTATATAGGGCTATGTCATCAGTAAGCTGAAGATATGTCATGTTTTGTCTAATCACCACCCTCAGTTCTTCCTCGGCCTACCTCTACCTTTTCTAAAACCAGTTGTAGCCAACCTCTCACATCTCCTTGCCGGTGCATCCGTGCACCTCCTCTTCATATGCCCGAATCATCTCAGCCTCGTTTCCCTCATCTTGGCCTCCATGGAGGCCATTACTACCTTGTCCTGAATCACTCCATTCGTAATCTTGTCTCTCCTAGTATACCTACACATCCAAATGAGCATCCTCATCTCCGGTACCTTCATATTCTGAACATGTGCGTTCTTACTAGCCAACGCTCTGCCACATACGACAATGCGAGTCTAACGAGCTTACCTTTATCACTTGGTGACACATTCTTATCTCACAACACCTCGGCTGTGGGCCTCCATTTTGCCCACCCCTGCTCCAATACGATGTGTGACATCATCGTCAATCTCCCCGGTTTTTTTGGATTATAGACACAATAGACTTGAAAATTCCTCTGTTGAGTATGACTTGCATAATGATCTTCAAGTCCACCTCCTCTCACACATCACGTCACTGAATTTGCACTCCATATTTTCTGTTTCCATAGAATTATTTGTATTCATAGTTACTTTTTCCTGGACGACGCAATATGTATATAGCTTTGTTTCTTTTCTACTTTTTTTGTTTGCTCAGCTCTCGCTTTGTACTTAATAAAACCGTAAAAGATATGAGTGACAGTAGGCCAGTGCACAATGCATTCCATGTTTATGCAGGTTCCGAGGAAGGGTCGCACATTAAAGGGTGTGATGTAAAAAGCCGTAGAAGATACTTGGCGTTTTTCTACGTTTTTAACCTTTGCTAACACTGATACTAAAGTGCTGTGCTACCGTAGGGGCAAGGATGAAGAGGACGCTGATATGCAAGATCTCATTGCATCTTTCTCTGGGTTTGAAGAGAATGTTCTTGAGCAGTATACTTTGGCAAAGGTATTCATCTGTAATGGATATCCTTTTGCTTTGTTTCATTATGGTTTCCACTTGTTATCGTTATCGAGAACTCTTAAAGAAATAATAGTAAATTAAGGTACATGTCTGTAAGAATTCCAAGTATATGAATGGTGCACAAAGCACTATGCTAGATGCACACATTGTTAGTTGTTATCAGAGATACCTGTGCCTTTTGAAATAAATGATTTAAGAACATTCTTGGTTTCATAACTATAAAAAGTTTATGCTCCCTATTGTCGCTTAAAAAAGTGTCAGTCCCCTTTTAGTATTCTCCTAATTATCATGTCCTTTTACTTCTTTTTTCCCTAAGCAATGTGTCTTTTATCAGTATCCTCAAGGAACAATTAACCCCCCCCCCCCTCCTGGACCCCTGATGACTTGATCCTCAATAATTGGGAGGTTTAACCTGAAAAAACCAAAAGTTGACAACAAGATATTAATATTTTGTGCTTGTATTGGAGAAGATTTTTCTAAAAGAATAGAGAATTGCTCTTAAACTTTGCCTTGTCCCTGATTGGATGATTCGTAAATTTTCTTTTTTTTTGGAAATATTTTGTCAGAGAAATTTGTTCAGAACAGCTGCTGTAAACTATTTGTTGGAGAGTGGTGTACAATGGGGTGCTGCACCAGCAGTTGAGGCAAGAAGTCTTTCTCATTTTGGCCTGCTATAACAGAAAATGTTTTCCACTTGGAATGATAGCATGATTTTCTATGCATTGCAGGGAGTACGAGATGCTGCTGTGGATTTACTACACACTTTAGTTGCTGTACATGCAGAGGTAAATTCTCCGACTCTTTTCTGGGGATATTGTTGCTTGTTCATAGTTTAGGTAGACGGAGATTTTAATCGATTTGTCTGGTGCATAGTTTTAAAAAGTTCTAAATCTCAAACTCTATCTTTACTTGGTGTGTTTCTTATACCATTCTCTCCCGCATTGCTTAGTCTAACGTTCTAATTTTGGGTTTTCTCTTACAGGTTTTTGCCGGTTGTAAGCCTCTGTTGGATAAGACACTTGGTATTCTTGTTGAAGGTCTAATCGACACTTTCTTAAGCCTTTTCCATGAAAACCAAGAAACAGATTTTACAGTATTAGACGTGAATGGCTTTTGTCAGCTTATGCTTGAGGTTAGTTAAATTGTTAATGCTTCCCAGAATCACTTTTCTTTTCTGTTTGGATGGTGCAAATACAATATTTTTTTCTGCTTTTGTTTTGTTGAGTGCTTTTGTATTGCTTAAGCTTTTATGCTGTTCAAAGCAGAAGTATACTTTAAAACAAAAATGTAGAGAGGGTTCAGATTCGATTCCGTGTTCTTGCATTTGTTTCTCTACATATTTTTTATGGACTACTGAAAGTTGATAGAATAAAACAGGGAACTGAAATGGATAGGTCATGCTCTCTCATGACTAACTGCATGGCGTTGACTCTGATAGACTGTATGGCTTAATCCTGCAGCTTGATTATTTTGAGACCATATTGAACACTTACTTTACACATGAAGCAAGGGAGTCTCTAAAAACTTTACAAGGGGTCCTTTTAGAGAAAGCAACTGAGAGTGTCCCAGAGACTGTTGAGACTCCAACCAATAGTCGTCGGCAAACACGTGGAAATGATGATGGACTTCAGGATGAAAGGCAGCAAGGGGGGACTATATCACCTGATGATCTGATTGTATGAAATACTTTCTCCATAGACTTTTTTTCCTGATTTTTTGTCATGTCGTTTTTCTCTGCAATATGCTTTAAACATATGTTTAAACATAAATTTTCTTACAGAATATTGTTTATCATCACAAGGTTGGTTCATTCCAGCCAGCAAATTCCCTGTTGGCTATGATATTTGCCTCGCACCAAACAATCTAGTTTCGACATTGTCATTAAAGTGTTTCATTGCCTTTTCTTACATGCCTTTGGATTGTTCTCAATTTCACAGGCTCTTGCACAGCAGTACAGTTCTGAGCTACTTCAATCTGAACTCGAGAGGACACGAATCAATACAGCATGCTTTGTGGAGTCGATTTCTCCGGATTCTGTCCCAGATTCAGCAAAAGCAGCTTATGCTTCTTTTAGAGGATCAATGGATTCTCCCGGTAGAGGATCTCAAAGTGTTGGACCCCCGAGCTACTCCAAGCAAAGACGCCGATAAATTAGAGGTATCCATTTTCTGTTCCACTTTTTGCCCCATATTTCGAGCTTCACAATGGGGAAAGCCTCTTCATTTAGCTGTGAAACACAAAGTCCACAAATGATTTGACAAAATAATGTTTAGGTGTTATCCTGCAAGTTGTTTGTTCTATCAAAATGTACCTTGACCTAAGAACTTGTATGGCTTCCATCTTACTCGAACATGTAGAAGCCCTTCATCTGGCTCTCATCTAACTGCCACGGTCTCTACTCCTGCTAATCGCTTAACACATTCGTTGTTGTTTGGTTCGTGAAGTACAAGGAGATTTTACTCGTTGGTGTCAATTGGGGTGTCTATAGACTCTTGTTTCTCTTCATGGAGCTTTTGGCCTAATAGGTTTCATGTTGGTCTATTCAAGCTTGCTCGATTTGTTCAATTGAGTCCTTATAATGCAAGTCCAATTGCTGTTTTTGTTCTGGATTTCTGATTTATCATCCGTTCGGAGGTAGGAGTGGATATAGGGCCTTGCCAGGTTGTTCATCCGAACTCCCTCAGCAAAAAATAACACTGTATAGATTTTGAATTCCCTAAACACGGATAGAAACTAGTTAGCTCCGTGGTTTAGGGGTTCCAAGAATTCAACTTAAAGGTATAAATTCAAATCTCAACCGCTATATTTTTATTTTCGAACCTACTCAATGAAAATCCTAAATCTAAACAGGAACAGGGTTAGAAAAACCATACACTACAACTGAAAAAGTAATAACTAGATGTAATTGTGCACTATAATTTGGATTGTCAATTGAAGGACAAATAATTTGATATTTATGAATAAATAAAAAAAACATAAAATAATATATTTTGCAAACAAAAAGCTAATCCAATTATTTGTTAATTTATCCTTTCTTGTTACATCACATTGAAGTTGATATGAGTAAAATCAAACCAAGGATAAAACAAGAAGTGGACTTAAGACTTTGAAAGTAACATCAACCATATACCCACAAAGAATTTCTTTATTGGGTGATTAATGAAATGTCCATGAAACAAAAATATTAATTTTTTAAATATTTTTCTCATACCTTCTTAAGAAAAAAAATGTTTATAAAATACTCAAACATATATATATACATTGGTCATGTACTCTAAAACACTATAATCCTACTATTCTTATGAAATTAGAAAAAGAAATGTTTATGAAATAAATGTTTTATTTTCAAATTATCACAATTTTGTAAATGATTATATTAATTTTTTTTTGGTTATTTGAAGTCAACATGAACTATTTTTCCCCTTTTTAAAATGTCCCTTTTACACACAGCTGCTCAATGTGGGCATTTCTTTTGGTCCATTTATTATGGGCCCATTAATAGTGACACTCAACATGCAGCTTCATTTTCATGGGCCTCACTTTTCAATTTATTACCCACTTGTAAATTATTCTTTTTCACCTTTTTTATGCTCCTTTCTTTTTTTGGTAATGGGGATTGATTCCCTTCTTTCATTTTTTTTTGTTTTATTTTGTTATTTTCTTTGTTTAAGATGACATTGACATTTTGAGGGAAATAATTATTCTTATTTTAGAGCGATAACTCGGTATATCTACTATATGACCTTTTTTTTTTGCTTATTTGTACGAATCAGACAGGGTTTGTTAAAGGAAAGAGTATCGTGAAGAATATCCTTTTGACACAAGAAAAATCAGAGAAATAGCAAGGGAAACTTATAGAAATCTCACTAGATTAGGGGCTAATTATTTAGACACGCGCTAATTTATAATATTACGAAAATATATCTAATTTTGGTGCATTTAGACATATGTATCTCGTGATAATGGAGCCAAAATTAGGTGTAACTTGTCCTAAATGTATTGTATCGAAGTAGATTCATATGTATCTGCAATACATAGATAGTGGACGGGGTGGATACATGACAGAGCGGTTTTAAGGCTATGTGGGTGGGTGGGATGTGGCGCGGTTGAAGTGGATTTTTTAAAAAGTAATGTGGGGAGAGGTGAATTGTGAGTCTATGCAATTTTATGCAGGTTCAAATTTAGTTTTAAATTTTCACATGCATGTTACTAGAGTGTGATTGGTCTTTATTATCAAGATGACTTCCTTAAAGTCACTAAAATATTCAAGATAGTAAATGAAATTAGTACAATCAAAACTAATATAGTTTCTGACATGCTTCCCGATTAACCTCTAAAATCATAATTCTTTAAGTCATTATCTATTGAATTAATACAACTTAATGAGAAAATGAATATATTTTTATGAATTTTATTTTTGTATCAAACTTGATTAAAAAGAAGAAGAATCAAATTTTATGCGAGGCGAATTGAAAATGAAAAAAGTTATTGTGCAGGACAGAGTAGGTCGGGCAAAATTTTTACAGCTTAAGCTCACTAACCCCGCCCCATTGTCATCTCTATACATAGGCGAATCTTGCTTACTTCCCTAGATTCCTTCTGTCTCGCCCGTCACTCTGTTGTGTATATGATATCTTTGGTACATGTGAATCACATCAGATAACATACAAATACATGTATCTAATGTGATTCACATGATTCTGAGATACATTACTATATATCTCGCTCGCTTACCTCTCCATCTCGCTCTCCTTTCTCATTTTTTAAAATGGATCTATATATATCTTCCTCAATATACGTTATAAACTTCTTAATTAATGATAACAAACTTAATGATAACACAAATCAAAGACTTTACCTTTTATATACTTAGGTTATTAGGTGTTCTTATTTTTTGTGAAAGAAATAAGCTATGTTATTATAATTATTTTCTCAAAAAAAATTAAAATAGAAAACATGACACAAGAATAACAGATTGCACTTGAAATGGCTGGCCTGCAGTTTACTCTTCAATTTTAATAATTCTATTTTTTAATTATTAAAGACAAATGAAGAAGAAAAAAAACTTTTTATATTCCGCCGCCCATCCTCAAATAAAAATAAAATAAAAATATGAGGTTAGCATGGAAAAAATAAAACAATTAATAAATATTATTATACATGTATATCATTATGTGATATTCACCTTCTCTTCGAAAACTTTGAATAAATTAGCTTCTAAAAACATACTCCATCTATATCGTTTACTCTCTTATATTTTGCTTTTCAAGAGTCGTATTATATAAATTTTAATTAATATTTAAAAATATATATTTTTTCATCGTACTAATGTGGGAAAGATAATTTATAATATTTTTTCATAAAGTATTTGAAAATTAAAATTTTAAAATATTGAATTATTTGAATTTTATTTATCTTTAAAAACTAGTCAAATTTATTCTCATAAAATGAAATGTGATAAATAAATAGAAATGAAAGGAAATACTATTTGATAAATTAGACAAATAACAATATTTAGTTCGTTATGATTCAATGCAAGAGACTTAATTTATAACTGAAAATGTATTTAAATGCACAAGGAACTTAAAACAGACCATCAAAGGCTAATTCAAAATTGAAAACATTAATTTAAAATTTTAATCAATTTAGGTGAATTCAAAATCTAAAACATTGATTTAAAATTTTAACTCATTTGAATTACTGAATTCTAAATTACTAATGTGCACATTCAATAGATGTCTAGAGATAAATATAAAATCGTAGTGTTATTGGGATCGTTAATTGAAAATATTCTCTTTCCATATTAGTCGATGATTTTTTTTGAAAAAATAAATTATTTGTAACTAATTCATTATAAATTTGTGTTCAAAAGTATTTACCTTCTTTAATAGGGATTGAAAACACTCTTAGACGTAGAAAATATCATATTCTATATCTATTTAGAAAAAAATAACCAAATTCATAATTTTACAAATTCTTCCTCAATAAGTTGAAAAAAAATAAAATGAAATTGGCTAATATTATAAATGATACTAAACTATTGTATACTTTTGAAGTGTAAAATCCACATGTTATATATACTTTAATAGTATTCGAGAATGCAACATCGTGATACAACATAATTGTATATCCCATGTGTATATAACGTCAAATTTGTGCTATAATTATTTTTAAAGAGACAATTTTGTAAATGGATAATTCTTCTACTTCGGAAATCATGTAAGTATATAAAAATCACCCTGATAATTGAATTTGATGTGATTATATGAAAAATTAGTTTTTAGTATATTCTCTTAATTAATTAGTTGGAGGCATGTGTAGATGCTAACATATATTGTTAGTAAACAAAGGCATGTGGATTACATTATGACTTTTGTTAATTTTAATATTTTGATGATTAAACATATTAATTAATTAGCAACATCTTTTCATGTGTGTTATTAAAGCTTTGTCTCATAGAGCTATATTAGATTTCAATTAAATCTCTTCACATGCTTGTCTTGCTTCTTAATCACACTAGAATTATCTGATTAATTACCTCTAGACTATGTGTTCTCCAACATAATCCTTTAATTAGATATTAGGTTGTATACTTTTCTAGTGTTTAGCTTAATTAGAAAGGTTTTTGAAAGACAAAAGAAAGAAAAACTCATTTGGTTTTATTGAAACAAATTTTGGTTTTGTAAGTCAAGAACAAAATGTATTCTCTCATGTCTCAAAAAAAAATTGGTTTAATATTGTAGAGTTTGTGGAGTAAATACTATTTAAGCTTTATTTTTCAACATTAAAAACAAAGGAGGATACAATTCCATGAGTGATATATAGAAAGAATCACACGATTTTTTGTGATAATAGAAGTAAGGCCAAATACATAAGCAGATTCCTAAACTTGTTGGGTTTTTTCTCTCAGGTAACTCAACTACGTCATTTTTCTATTGAATCATTGAACTCCCATAATTTGTTCCGTTTAAACAAACACAGTTGTCTGATGTTGAACCAGATTTATGAAGGGTATTGATAGAGGATACATATGTTGTTCCACAAGTCATTAGTTCAATTGATAGTGAAAATGTTTAAGAATAATTGTATTTTACTTAAGTCATTTGAACACATTAGAAAACAAATGAGACTACCACGGTTTGTCTTCATTTCCTTCTATTAAAATTATTACAATTCGAACACAATTGAAGGCATTTACAACAAAAAAGCCGATCAAAATCAACCAACAGTGTTTTAAAGAAACAAATTATGGGTGGTTTAATGATTCAATAGAAAAATAACGTAGTTGAGGTACCCGAAGGAAAAAATCCAATAAATTTAGACTCTTTTTCGATTAGAAAAGTTACACCTAAGACTCTGAAGTAAAGGAAGATGATCCTAAGG